GCGAACTGTTCCACGCTGCGGCCGCAATTTGTGCTCATAAGGCGCCAGTTACATAAATTAATCTCATACTGCAGTAGAGCTGTAGCGCAACGAATCTTTAGTAAAGACAATGGTTCTATTTACAACCATTTCATATGTAATTGGATCTTTACATGGTGAAATCGTTCTTCAGATGGAGAATGTGTTATTTATGTTTCTGTAAAGCACCATACAAGACATTCTGCATCAGCTTGATTGCATTTCACCATGCAAAGAACCATTTAAGCAAGGAATGGTTCTAAATAGAACCATTAATTCACCAAAGAACCCTTGAAGGACCATCCTTTTTAAACAGTGTGGAAAGAGGACTCCTGTAGCCTGCAGTTTTCATTGTTTTCCATAATTTTTTGTACTTGGTGCAGAAAATTATGGAAAACAATGAAAACAAAACAAAAATCCAGATTGAAAAATGTCAAAACGCGACTACTGTTGGCTATTAAATGTAAAACATTTGTTGCTACGCGTTTTGCGGTACATCTACAGCCTTTAGATGATGTCTGATCACAAATAAATACATTAAAAAAACATAAACAAATGCAACATGCTGTTATACAAATAATCCTTTTATTGAGCAAAGTGAAGTAACTGATTTTAAGGTTATCCGTTTGGTAAAATTTGCGAACTTGCGGCTTCAGTTTGCGGTTCTGTTCCGCAGCGCAAACGCTGCACTTATAAACGGTCAGTGCGTGCAAGCTGATGCACACTCTGTGAAAACTGAGCACTGGACAGCCTGCTATTTGTTCACGCTCAAGAGACGCAGGGTGTAATTCTACTCCAGATTAAAAATAGTGTTTATTAAAGATTAAGGCGGACTGCAGCAAATATTGCGGCGGCGGTGCTGGTGTGATGGTCAGTCTTCTGCAATCATCAGCCCAAATCTCTCCATCTGTTTACTGCACGATCCTCCCTCTAATGCATATGCATGAGAGAGAGAGAGAGAGAGAGAGAGAGAGAGAGAGATGCATTCTGGCCAGTCCAATCTGAGGCTAAAACTGGTGCAAAAGGCTCCATCCACCCGGCTCTGAATCTCTTCTACACACTTAACAACATAGCTTTTTAAAGTTTCTTTAGTAAAGGGAACAGTTTTAGAACTATGAGTTCTATATATAACCATTTACATGCTTACATGGTTCCCTGAATGGTGAAATGGTTCTTCAGATTGATGGAGAACATCTTGGATATTGTTCTATATAGCAAAAAGGGTTCTGCTATTGTTACAATGTTAAATGTGTAACGACACAAAAGCCCTTTTGGTGCTATTTAGAACAATACTCAAAAATACACTCTTCAAGGGTTCTTTAGTAAAGACAGTAGTTCTGTATAGGGCCAGGAACATTTGTATACTTAAGTAGTTCTTTGCATGGTGAAATAGTTCTTCAGATTGATGGAGAATGTGTTACATAAGGTTCTGTGTAGAACCTATACAGCATCAAAATGGTTCTTCTATCGTTACGAAGTCAAGCTTGAATACAGTAGAAAAACTGTTTTTGTTGCTGTATAGAACCATATACACCACATTCTACATCCATCTGAAGAACCATTTTACCATGTAAAGAACCATTTAAGCATGCAAATGGCTCTATAGAGAACTCATACAACTCATGGTTCTATATATGTATGATAGTTTTGCTTCTACCCAAGTATATTAGAGAGTAAAGTTTTCTCAGTAATATCATTTTTTTTTATATCTTTTTAATTTATTTTCTTTTGGGGGGGGGGTTAATTTCATTCTGCTGTATTGGTTCAGCTTCTGTTCTGCTTTACTGTTAATCACTCCTCTCACTTTGAAGCTGTAACAACTTATTTTACAACAAAATAATCCAAAAAGAGAAAATCAGACCCAAGCACACTTCACCATACAGCTTCTTATTCCACTCTCCCGTTCCACCTTAAATGGTGCACCAGAATGCAGCTACACCCTTTAATATGGCACGGAAAATTTAAATAAACAGCCAGTTTCAGCTTCATAGTTCCCTTGCTGATTGATGCTGGATGTTCTAAGAAGTTAGAACTGCAGTTCCATTAAAAGTTTCTTGGCACTTCAGTTGTTTTTGAGGCGCTTTTGCTGTCATGTTTACTGGAGGATTCTCTACACACCTCTGTGTGTCTGTGTGTGCTGTAGAATGTTAGCCTTGTGGTGAGCAAAAGTGTCCACACCCTCTGGTCCTCATGGTCAAAAATGATGCAAATAAATAAATAATAATAAAAATAAACGAGGCAGTCTCATCATAAAGAAACAAGCAAATCAAGCAAATCAACAAAGCCAGCAGGCCTTGACTCCTCTGGGCCTTTCATTAGTTCTTGTTTAGAGTTTTTAAGCTCCTCTGGTGGTCCTGTGTTGGTGTGTATCTCCAGTTTGGATCCAGTGGTGGGGTGGTGGGGGTCAGTGGGGGGTCTGGAGCACCACACTGAGCGGAGTGTGTGTGTGTGTGTGTGTGGTCTAACGAGGACAGGTGCTGTGTTGGTCTGTAACACTCCTCAGCTGGTGCTGGAGAATCCCAAAGAGCTGTTGTGGAACCTACAACAGAAAGAACATTATTACAATTATTTGTTTTTAATAACAAACAAGAATCTCTGTCATGGAAAATTAAGAGGGGGGGTCAAAAGAATCTCTTGTAAGTTCATCATAAAATAAGATACCAAAGAAGGGTGGGGTTGAAACTAATAACCGATCACATTGATTTATCAGTCTACTCAGGCTTTAGCAGAGCTCAGTAACACTGAGATTAATAACTGCTCATGTTGATTTGTGATTTGTATTTCAAAAGCATTCATCTATAATGTGAGAAGTAACTGTATTCTGAATAGTCTTTACAAAATGTAACTTAACACAGATACTTAATTTCTGTATTCTGAATATATATTTCAAATACTTGTGTTTCATCACATCCCAACCCTGTACCATAGCAATGGCTTACCAAGCATACAGGTTGACATAGCAACTGCCTGGCCACACCCTAGTAACTACCTGGAACACTACACCTAGCAACAACCTAGGAACTCCCAAGCATCCACTTTGGTAATATCAGCAACCGCTTAGTAACACCCTAGCAACAACATAATACCATAGCAACCACCTAGCAACTGTTTAAAAAATTATAGCAACCATCTAACACTCTAACAATACCAGGGCATTGTTTAATCTGCACAATCACTTTGCATTTTCTTCCTAAAATGCCCTTTATAGTTTTATTATTATCGTTATTGTCAAGCACACATGTGATCTCAGTAGGGATGAATCAATACAAGAAATAATTTAATAAGTACATGACACAAATAAAATCATTTAATAATACCTTTTCATGTGGAACAATTATTAGTGCATGCATATAAATTTCATTTAAGTTTCTTTTTGCTACTAAAAGTCTAAAATGTCAGTTGGTGCAACCGTCCAACCATATATGTTGATTAAGTAAACTATCAAAAAAGCGAATTTAGTTAAGTAAAATTCTAAATAAAACACTTTGGCATGGTTTTATGTTTGAAAACTTTAAAATGAAAAACAGAGCTGCAAAATAAGGGAACTTTAAAAGTGCTCAACTCACTGAAAAACTTTTGTCCACAAGTTCTGACTTGTCAGGCGGCACAACCATAAACAAAGGGCTTTTATTTTGACATGCTTTTATGAAAGAGGGGCTAGGATATTGCGTCATAAAGAAAACCCCAAGTGACCTTCATGGTGCTTCAAGTCACAGATTTAGTAAAAAATGTGATTTTGGATTTGTTTCAGTTTACCATGTCAGGTGGTCTGACCTCAGGAGAACCATGAAAATGTGAAACTATTATAATAATGTTTCTTTATGTGCAAAAATGTATAAAACTCAGTATAAAGATCAAGGACAAAGGTTACCACAGGTGTCTGTTTAATTTGAAATTAGTCTGAAAAGTCATGCGGTGCAACCACTAAGTACATATGGAGCAACCAGACGAGCACAGTTTAATAACTGAAATAGGCAATTAAAAGCTTTAATAGCACTCACTATATTTAAGATAGAAAATGCATAGATACATAAACGCAAATGCACATCGTGTTCTTTTTAACAATATTTTTGATAATTGTTATGTTGAAAACCTTATTTGTCATTGACCCCTAACCCACTGCCAACATTTACTCATTTATAAACTGTTTTCATTGAGAATAAAACACCCTTAATCATCATTACAGAGATTTCCATAGAATTACGAATGCAGGAAAAATGAATGAATGTGAGTTTTTTTTGACAATTATCAGCCGATACTGATATGAGTACAGTATTATTGTGCAATGTGACAACTTATGTCCAGCTGAAGTGTGCAATTCTATAGTCTTTTTTCATAGACTGCCCTTTGCTATGGCTTTATTCACGCCCACACACACACTGCTAAACGGCCTGTGTTAATGAAGCATGCTCATTAGTGCACTGATCAGCATATGGTGTTTCTGCAGTCTGAATTAAAAATGGAGAAATATCTCTTCGCATGAAGCTGTTTCAGTAACTGCTCAATGATAATTCAATTATAAAAAAACATCCAGATGAAATAGTGTGGAAATGATTTAGTTTGTGTAGCTGCAGCAGACTGTGTGTATGTTTTAGCCCCCCCTCCTTCATTATGTGAACGGGGGGGTTGTTATTAGCGACGTGTATGCGGGTGTGATTGCACCTGGGTGGGGGGGGAGTGGACGTGGTGCTTATTTCCATATAAAAAGCTCTATTAATCAAGGTAAGTGTCATTAGAGCGCGGCTCATTGGGTGCTGGAGTATGTGTGGATTAAATAAAGCTCAGCCTGCTCGCCGCCTCAGGCCTGCCATACATCTTTATTTGTGGAGTGTCAGTGACAGCGGCTGGAGAAGGAGGAATATTATCCCCAGTATCTAATCACATTTCCCAGCCGTAGACGGTGGCAGAAGGGAGAGAGCGAAAGAGTGAAAGAGTGGAGCGATACTTCATACATACCCCGTTCACAGTGCTGGTGCAGAGGGTTACATGTAATGCCACTGCCCGTCCATGCCCATGTTCATGCCCATGCCACCCATCGGACCTGCCAGAGCACAAAACACAACAGCTGCTTCAGCACAGACAGTCCAGTGTGAAAGCCTGCAAGTACATTTTTCACTTCATCACATAAAATTTAAAAGGCTGTTTTTGCGATTGGGAATGACAGCAACTCAGCCACAAAGTGGTCGGCCACGTAAAATGACAGAGCGGGGTCAGCAGATGCTGAGGCACATAGTGCGCAGAGGTCACCAACTTTCTGCAGAGTCAATCGCTACAGACCTCCAAACTCCATGTGGCCTTCAGATTAGCTCAAGAACAGCGTAGAGAGCTTCATGGAATGGGTTTCCATGGCCGAGCAGCTGCATCCAAGCCTTACATCACCAAGCGCAATGCAAAGTGTCGAATGCAGTGATGTAAAGTGCCGCCACTGGACCAAGCGTGACCAATCACGCTTCTCCGTCTGGCAATCCGATGGACGAGTCTTAATGCTTCAGCAGACCAAGAGATTTTGGACAATTTCATGCTCCCAACTTTGTGGGAACAGTTTGGGGATGGCCCCTTCCTGTTCCAACATGACTGCGCACCAGTGCCAAAGCAAGGTCCATAAAGACATGGATGAGCGAGTTTGGAGTGGAAGAAATTGACTGGCCTGCACAGAGTCCTGACCTCAACCCGACAGAACACCTTTGGGATGAATTAGAGAAGAGACTGCGAGCCAGGCCTTCTCGTCCAACATCAGTGTCTGACCTCACAAATGCGCTTCTGGAAGAATGGTCAAAAATTCCCATAAACACACTCCTAACCCTTGTGGAAAGCCTTACCAGAAGAGTTGAAGCTGTTATAGCTGAAAGGGTGGGCCAACATCATATTAAACCCTATGGATTAAGAATGGGATGTCACTCAAGTTCATATGCGTGTGAAGGCAGACAAGCGAATACTTTTGGCAATATAGTGTATATTTAAATGAGCTCTGTTCTGATTGGCTGTCTTGTATTATGCTTCTTTCTGTGGAAAGTGGTCCAGGCTGAAATATTCCATTTAACTTCAGTGTAATTGAGCAGGTTTCAGCTGCTGTAGGCTGAATAAGCAGATATATGTGAATTTGTTGGTTTTTGTGACATCACAAAAACAGTGAACTGGGCCTAAAAACATGAAATGGGCCCATTTAGGCTGACATATGCAAATAAGCCTGTTCCTGTCAGCTGCCTAGGCTGAAACACTCCTCATAACTTCAGCATTAATAGGTGGTGCTAAACTGCATTGTTTTTTGTGACATCCCAGAAATTAATTTTTTGCTCATTTTTCCATGACACCACCTCCTTAAGTAAAAGAACATTCAAAGTTTTATTTTGGTGAATATCACGACTGTGGTTTTAATACCGGCAGTTTCTTCCGCCTAAAAAGTAGTTCCCAGCAGCTTAGAGTAATGCGACTGTTGTTGTTAGTTAGCAATCAGTGGTGAGTGTGGAAAGATGCAGTGATGGTGAAAAAGTGTGCTGTTGTCAGGTGTAATATACGCTTTTCGACCAATCAGTTTTGCAAGTGGAGCTACGTTTGCACAAACAGTAGTAACGCACACAGATGGCAATGGATTTGATTGGTTAATTGGTTTTGTTTAAATATAAACAGGACTGAAAGCAGGGCTGGGCAATTAATCAAATTTTACTTTCAATTATGATTTTGGCTTTAAATGATTATTCACAATGATGCTCTCGTTTTTTCTTTGTTACATATTAGCTTCCTTTGCAGCGGTACGCTTTCTCCCCTCCCTAAAAGCTCAAACTCCTCTCACTTGCTTTGGACTAATATATTTTTATTTAATATTTTTATATATTTTAGCAGTCTTCAGTAGGTTGTAGATGTCCACTATGAGCTAATCACATTTATTTATTCATTTATTTACATATATTTTTATTTGCTTTTCAATTCAATTATATTTAAAATTTAAGGAAATAATTCACTGTTAAAAAGACAATTTTTAGCATAAGATAATTGTATTAAATAATCGTCTCAGTATTAACTAAAATAATTGTGATTATGATTTTTGCCATAATCGAGCAGCCCTAACTGGAAGGTAATAACCTGTCAGTGTTTACGTCAGTGTTACACTCACCGGGAGGTCGGAGGCCCATGTGCTGTTGACCGTCCAGAACAAAGCCCCCCATTGGCTGCCCATCTGGACTGTACGGAGTTCCCTGGCTCACTAGATGGCAAAATAAGAGCATGCATGAAGTCATCACAGACTGAACAGCTCAGAGGAATAAAGCTGAGGGAGAATCAATGAGGAAGCATGAAAGTGTAAGAAGTTCTACCTGCTCGGTTGGACTGGTCAATCATGGGCTGCACTATTCTCCTTCTGGCGTTAATAAACCTAAAACAAAAAAAAGAAGATGTCAGTTAACCTTTATTTAAACTCTGAGTACTTCAAAATTGACCATCATTTACAATGTAGCTGAATCAATATAGACATCAAGGAATAGATTGCTAATAATGATGATAATAATAATAATAATAATAATAATAATAATAATAATAATAATACCAGTACAACTCATTGCAAAGAACACAGTTAAATTCAACTTTTTATGGTAAGTTTTAATACATAAATTTATTTTTTTTGTTTAACATATTATAGAAAATGAATGTAAAATATAAAATGTGCCATAACTTCTGCACAGGACATTAAATGGCCCATACCTTACATTTTATTTTTTCCTTTATTTTGTTTTATGAAACAAAAATAGTCATAATTAATTTTCCAGCCTCTCTTTATCCACTGTTTAATTAAGACTCGCATAAGCACTCTGTTCTGATTGGCTGTCCTAAATAGTGCCTCATTCAGAAAGCAGTCCAGGCTGAAACACTCCTTATAGCTTCAGTATGGGTGGGCAGGGCTAAACTGCTGTAGGCTGAAAGGATGGATTTATGTAAATAAAGTGGTTCTCATGACATCACAGAAACAAAATGGGTGTTTTTGCAATTTAAATAGTAGATTTTGAAAATTATATTCACAGAACGTGAAAGAAATGTGCTTTTCCATGATACTTTCGTAAGTTGTGCAGAAGTGTGTTCTCTGTGGAGGATATGTTGATCAGAGGTTCTCAAACCTATGTATGATGAACTCAACTATCATTAAATATGATTTAAAAAATAATGAAATAAAATATGATGCAATTTCTCTTAGTAATGACTTTCAAATGTGGAAATGCAAACTGAAATACAGTTATAGCAGAAATGGCCTAAAAGAGCACATAAATCAGAAACAGATTAATCTGATCTCCTGGGCACATTACAGTTTTCCCCTTATCCGCTAAACATAGAGGCTGTGGCCTAAAAATTGCTTTAATAAACACACACACACACACACACACACACATATATATATATATATATATATATATATATATATATATATATATCACTGTTCTCAAAACAAAGCCTCAATTTTTCATTTGTTTTTCATTTTTTCATTCATATTTGTGATAATGCCTGTTGCCATTTTTGTTCCAACAGCAGTGATATGATATGTAATATATATCTGTCCAAGTTTGGACAAAGTAATAAAGTCTGAAAATTAGATTTTGATAAAAGAAACCGCAACCAGAGGGCCGAAAGTGGTACTTTCAGGTTTTGGCAATAATGTAAGAAGGTATTACACTATCAGTACAAATCTTATTACATTATCAGTTAAGACACTCTATTACATTATTGGGCAAGTTATTACATCTTTGGGTTTTATTGCATTTTTAACCAAGTTAAGTGCAAAATGTTATGACATTTCTGCCCATTATTTCACATTGGGAAATTATTACATTATTGAGTTCCACAGGGGATCTTTACAGACAAATGGAATTGTTCTTAGCTTTAATATATGTTCATGCTATGATATTTTATTTTGTAATTTTGGATCCTGTATGTTAGTCCATTCATCACACCATGTAAAGAGCTGTGTTTCAAATGGTGTAAATAATAATAATAATAATAATAATAATAATAATAATAAAACAGAGATGGAGATAAAAGGTTTTGTTTCTGACAGCTTTCTGATTTATTTTATCACTGTTATATCTTGCTTATAATTTTTTTGATGAGATGACCTCATTACATTAATGGGTTTCCAAAGTGGTTCATATTACGAGAAGCTCCTGCAGTGCTCAGTACAGCATCAGCAGCTAACAGAGTCCTCAGTGCTCAACACACCCTGTAACATTAACACAGAGGTGCTCAGGCTTAACAAAGTGTATTAACAAGGCTTCACAACAGTCTGCTAACGAGACAGACCTACAGGACTGTTTGAGGATGTTTTGTTATCATAGCAGTGGCTAAACCTCATTTGCACTGCTGTCGTCTCTCGTTATCGGTCTTTAACACCATCTAATGGTGGCATTAACCAGAGGAGGCCCTGCAGAACGCACCTGCCCCTCGTCCATCCAAAAAGAGTCAGAGGTCAAAGGTCACTCACCAGTTATTCACTTGTAAGATGGTGAGGCCTGTGTCCTGAGCTAACTGCTTCTTCTGTTCTTCAGAGGGATAGGGGTGCTGAGAGAGAGAGAGAGACAGGGAGAGAGACAGAGGGACAGGACAGAGAGAGAGTGAGGGATTCAGTCAGCAAAAAGAGACAATATAAATATTACAGTCAATTCATACAAATCATTCTGAGGAAGTGACATCATCATCCAGGATGACCTCCCTGCTGTCACGTGATCAGAGTCGCCGTGCTGCCCCACAGCGAGCTGTGCTGTCTGGCGTTAAGGGGTTTTTTATGTTAGGTGACAAATGATGGTATGGAGCTGAAAGGGACATAGTAGAGGGCTTGGTGTGGGTGTGAATGGTGTTTGACCCCTGCTGGCCCCCACTAGCCCTTACTGGTCCCTATTGGATCCTGCTGGCCCCCACTAACCCACACTAACCCCCAGTACCCCTTTCTAGCGCCTTCTAGCATTTGTTGGCCCCACCAGCCCTTGCCTTCGCCCACTAGCCTTTACTGACCTCACTAGCCCATGTCTTTATCTACTAGCCCTTGTTGGCCCCCACCAGCACTTGTTGGCTCCTACTATCCCTTGCCTTTATCCATTAGCTGGTTACTTGCTGCCCCAGGAGCCTTTGCTTTAGACCTTGCTGGTCTCCATTTGTGCTTGTCTTTACTTCCTAGCCCTTGCTGGTCTCACTAGCCCTTGCCATTGCCAATTAGCCCTTGCTGGCCTCCTCTAGCCCTTGCCTTTACCTACTAGCCTTTGCCTTTACCCTCTTGCCCTTGCTGGCCATCCCTAGCCCTTGCCATTACCCATTAGTCCTTGCTGGCCTCCCCCAGCCCTTGCTTTTACCTACTAGCCCTTGCCTTTATCCTTTTGCCCTTGCTGGCCTCTCCTTTCCCTTGCCTTTACCCACTAGCCCTTGCCTTTACCCTCTTGCCCTTGCCGGCCTCACTAGTCCTTGCCTTTGCCCACTAGCCCTTGCTGGCCTTCACTAGCCCTTGTCTTTACTCACCAGCCCTTGCTGGCCTCCATTAGTCCTCAGTGGCCCCAAGTGACTCTTGCTGCCCCCACTGACATTTGCTGAACCCCACTGACTCTTGCTGGCCCCCACTACCCCTGATTTGGCCTGTGAATTCTGTCTTTTCTCTCTCTGAGTGATTAGACCTGATGTTAGCCCTTGTGATGCTTCATGCTGACCTCCTGGCTTGTTGGCTGTCATTCTTCTGATGAATGACTGTAAGCTCCACCTCTTTCTTTGCACCCCAGTGACACCCCCACCCCCCACCACATGCACAGATGACCCCTCACACTGGAGGTCATGACTCCTCCTGGTTTCCTGCCAAACCCTCTGATCACTACCATAATGGTTTCTGACCCTTATTACACTGTTATATACACAGTTATTACTGTAATATGCTGTTTTATACATACAGTTGTAACATTAATGTAGTTATATTCACAGCTATTACTGTAATGTGCTGTTATATATACAGTCAGACTTAATTTATGCTGTTATATACATAGAGAGAATTGTAATGCCCTATTATATATACAGTTAGAATTGTAATGCACTATATACACAGTTATGACGATTCATTTCCTGTTTGATTCAGCTTTACTTTACTGGTTAAATCTTCTCTTTTTTCCCATTCTGATTGTTTTTTTTGGGGGGTGGGGCTCTTTATTGTTGTTGTTCAATAGGCCAGAAAACATGGAGGTAAAGACTGAATGTAAAGAGTTTTTCCCTAAAAATGGCACCCCACGCTCAAAGTAGAGCTTAACAAAACATAATCTGGCTCCTTTTCTTTCTTTCTCGGCCCCAAACGAATGCATGATCGCCTGGGTGTTGCAGTGGAGGCCATTCAGAGCCCCTTCACACTTTTTTAGGGGAGTCGGCACATCCTGCAGTAGGACAAACTCAAGGAAAGAGGGGATAATTCAATTAGGCTCCTTTATTTATCGGTGAAAGGTGAGTTGAAGGGGAACAATTAGAGCGAATTCAGGATGCAGGAGGCCTTTAGAGCACAGTGAAGTGGAAATGTGGAAGCTCTGGAGAGCGATTTTGCCTGTATTTAATAGATAACAATGTGATACATACTTAAAAAAAGATGGCAACGATTCTATTTAGAACCATGAGTTATAGAACCATTGATGACGGTGTGTTCAACAACCATATGTTCTAACAAGGGCACCTTTTGACTTGTACTAAATCAAGGTTAAAGCAGGAGATTGTGCTTTTTCAGGTATAGGCCCCAGATTCTGGAATGAGTTACGTTTGCATGCTAGGCTGCTCCTATACACTCTCTATTTTTAAATCCCATCGCAAAACACACTTCAGCTTTTGATTCAGTGCGAGAGCTGCTCAGCTTTCGTGTTGTTGTTACAGTCTTACTCTTTGTATTTATTGTCTTTTTTGTTATTTAAGTGGTTGCTGTTTTTTATTGCCTGTTTTATAAGTTTTCCTATAGTACTTCGGTCAACAGCAGATGTTTTTAAATGTGTTCTATAAACAAATTTGACATTAACATTGACACAAATAAAGTACTAAAATGGGTCCATCTGTAAGACGGATTACGCTAAGTCAAAATGCTGGAAGTTTCTTACCGTGAGGTGCTGGAAGAGCCAGGCCCGCATGATGTTGGTTGCCACTTTGGGAAAAATCCCTCGCTTCTTCTGCCGTTTCTTATCTGGGTCATCTTCATCTGTTCCTGGAGACGCTAAGTTGTTTTCTAGGCTGTCTCCTAAAAAAAGGGAGAGAGAGAGATTGAATTAAAAATTCAATTAGAATTGAATTAGGCAGAATTAGACAGATTACCTCTGTTAATAAACATTCAAAAAAGATCTGCAAATTTCCGGATGCGAGTCCCAGAGAAACTCTGCAGTTTAAGGCGCTACAGAGTAAAGAACTGAACCCTAAGCAGAGCTCACTCAGTCAGCTGGTTCTAACCTTCTAACAGCTCCTCGCACACAGCGACCCCACTCCAGCACTGTTTTACAGCCTAAACTAAACATTAATCACACCATCAAACACAGTAAGAACAATTATCTGGAATATCGGGAGAAAGAAATTAAAACTCAGATTAAATTAGAATGCTATTAGGCACTAAAAAACAGAGTATGATTTAGAAGAGAATCTCCTGACCATCAGAGATACACAGCATAGACAGATTCTGACCAAGTACAGACGCAGTGACCCCAGCCTGGCCATAGAACAGGACAGGTATAAAAAGTCCTGGCTGCCCAGAGACAAGAGGCTGTGTGGTCACTGTATGACAGGTGAAGTCAAGACAGAAATGCACTTTCTTCTTCACTGTCAAAAATTCAAACACGAGAAATTTACACAAACAACTACAACCAATTCATCCCAAATCTTGAAAAATGTACTTAATTGGAGAAATTTTGAATCCTTTTTGAAGAGGTGCACTCAGCCCCCCTCACTGCTAAATAAGTAACAACATGTCACCTCCTGAGAGACCCCCCATACTCCCACCTTACTGACCCACACCCCATACCCTCACCCTACTGACCTCCACCTCCAATTACCCCCCTGACCCCCAACATTACACAACCTATTTATATTAAAAATGAGAAATATATCATATGTTTATTAATTACTATAATTATAACTACAATGATAATAATATTGTAACATTGTAATTATAACTAGAAACATGCATTTCCTGAAGGAAACACAGAATGGTTGCACAGCTTAAATGGTTCCCACTGCCTGCTAGGTTTTTGCTAGGTGGTTACTATGCATCCCAGATGGTTGCCAAGTTGTTGCTAGGCAGTTGCTATGGTATCCCATGCTGTTGCTAAATTGCTGGTAGGCAGTTGCCATGATGTACAGGGTGTTTCTTTGTCCTAGGGGGTCGCCTATGTGTTGTTGAAAATGAATGGGAGTCTATGTGAGGAACAAGTGATGAAAAAACAACACATAGAGGAGTGCAGGTCAGTATGGCTGTGAATTAGAGCTTGGAGATCTGTCATTAGTTAGTACATGCATTTTGGTGGCTGTTGGGGAAAGGAAAAAACAGGGCTTAGGTTTGGATGAAAATGAATGGGATTCTATGGGAGGAAAGAGGGATGAAAAAATGACACATAGAGGAGTGCGGGTCAGTATGGCTGTGCAGTAGAGTCTGAGCTCCCACCCTTAGTAAGTACATGCAGTTTAGTAGCTGTAGGGCAACGAAGTATTAGTGTTTGTGTGGTTATGAAAATGAATGGGACCCTATGGGAGAAATGAGGGATGAAAAAAAATCAGAACAGTGAATTTGTGCTTGGGGGGCCTGTCCTGAGACAGTGTATGCGAAACAGTGTCTTTAGGTTGAGCGGAAGTACAGTAGATGGTTGTGCAATTTTTCACCCCATTCATTCCTATGGGAAAAAGTTCTGCCAAATTCCATTGCTACACAGAAAACCATGCATCCAATCAAAAAGCTGTATACAAGCCCGAATCTCACAATGAGACCAGACAATCTGGAGCTGGAACAGTGTTGATATCTCGAAAACTGCAGGACAAGTAATGCAGCAAGATCCAGCAGAAAAATAAGAATGAGAGAAAAAAAAAATAATAGAAAACAAAGAACAATTTAGTAAAGCAAAACAATGCACTGCCACAATCATGAATGTGTGTTAGTTTTTTTTATCTTATTTTGTTTTCTTTATTGTTTCCATTGTTCACTGTCACTGTTCTGATGCTTTAGCAATGCTGTACTTCACAGTCATGCTAATAAAGCTATTCTGATTTGAATTGAATTGAATTGAACTGGTTTCTTTAGTAAATATAATGTTTTCATATGTTTCATATAGAGCCATGAACACTCAAAAAACCATTTGCATGCATAACTGGTTCTTTGCATAGTGAAATGGTTCTTCAGATTGATTAAGAATGTGCTGTAGATGGTTCTATATAGAACCAAAATGGGTTCTTCTATTGTTATAAGTTTGACATCGTAACAATAGAAGAACACTTTTTGGTGCTATTTAGAACCATTCTCCATCAACTTGAAGAACCATTTCATGTCTTTACTAAAGAACCCTTGAAGAACCATCTGTTATAAGAGTGTGTATAACATGAATAATAATAATTTTAACTGTATTCACATCAGTGCTGCTGTTAAACACAAAGACAAACATATGAATACCAACTAAACACTCAATATTACAGATCTTATATTTTTATAATGATGAAAGAGAGCAAGAATGAGAGAGATAGAGATAGAGAGAGAGAGCATCGCTTTGACACAGAGAAATGTTCGCCATTTGGACTCATCAGAGACAAAATTCACAAACAGGAAGTGACTGGAGCGCACACGACCTCATTTAGACTAACAACAACAACCCACAGATCTCTCTCTCTCTCTCTCTCTCTCTCTCTCTGTCTTACTATTCCTTTCTCACTTATTTTCCTTTCTCTCTCCCTCTCTCTGCTCTTCTATCTCCTCCCTTCTCTCTCACTCACCCCCCATCTCTCTATACATCTCTCTCTCTCTCTCTCTCTCTCTCTCTCTCTCTCTCTCTCTCTCTCTCTGTTGTCATTAGCTCGATGTGAGCTGTGGGTTTGATGTGGAGTAATGACCGTCACTCGTCCGTGTCTGATGTGCTGCTCAGGCTGAGATGTAAATAACTCGCATAGCAGCTAATGATCAGCTCACTGGGCTGAGTTTGGGGCTCAGTGGAGAACAAACTCAGCAGATTTCTCAGATATATAGATCACCTTCTCACACTGTATGACCAAACTGCTCTCAGCCTTTTAGCATTCAGTTGTTAAAGAGCTATTCAGAACAAACCTACCCCAAAAACCTCAGTGTCTAAACTTTGTTTCTTTGCTTTAGCACTGAAGCTACATGGCTAAGCTATCTAGTGATGGGAGCTTACAGTCGTTATGTTAGCATGGTGTTAACTGCAGGCCTAAATCCTCACGTTTCCTTCGAACATGTTGGTGAATTTCAAGGTGTGAAATTCAGGGGGGGTCCTGGACCCCCTAATTATCCTCTTGGACCCACAATTGTCTCAAATTCAAAATTCTGGGGGAGGGTCTCCTACAATAAAGTTATAGTGATGTTATGCTGTCTTTTAAATTTAGTGAAGTTCATTGTTTATCTGTCTCACCCACAAGGAGCTTCTGTTTTTGGTGTTCTTAACTAACTAGAGCTGCAGCACTGCTCTGCCTCAGGGTGGCGCTGTAGCAGACTGGTTCACCCAGTTGGTCCTTCATAGTCTAGAAATTGTAACTCTGCCCCGGATTCCTCTAAAAACTTTACAATGTGCTGCAGCAAATCTGTAAATCTAAAACTCAGTTTCCCAGGGGTTTGGTGTAAAGAGTGACTGTTCCTTATTTCTCACACCGAAGACAGAAGAGGACAGAATATGAGAAAGAGCACATTACCACACTGGAACAGAGCATTTACAGAAGAAGAATCAATAAAACAAACATTTTGCTGCCTTTGATACATCAGCGCCGCTATGGAGAGTGAGTTAGCGGCCAGCCAACGCTGGAGTAGCCAGCCAAAACAGGACCCTCTGAATACCACGGGGTGTTTATGCTTCCTATTTGTCAGTTTATTATTCAAATTTTCTGTTCCACTTTAAATACTGCAGCAGTTACATTTTGGTGCCTGTATTCCACCTTAAATGCTACAGCAGTTGCATTCTGGTGCCTCTGTTCCACCTTAAATGCTGCAGTAAGTATGTTCTGGTGCCTCTGATCCACCTTAAATGCTGCAATGCTTACATTCTGACACAGTTCCACTTTAAATGCTGCAGCAGTTACATTCTGGGGCCTCTGTTCCACCTTAAATACCGCAGCAGCTACTTTCCAGCACCTCTTATACAACTTAAATGCTGCAACAGCATTTAAGGTGGAATAGATAATTCAAATAAGAAGCCAACTTTATGTGCTTTCTGACACTGTATGATCTATAAACATGAACTGACACACATTAGTAGAGCTAAAAATAGTTAACATTCATTCATCTGCTCAGCTAGCTACATAAACACCTATAACGTATCAACATTACATTCCTGATGTAATTATTATACTGAATATTTTTTTATTTAGTCGGTCAAGTTCTAACAATGTGTGATGACAGAAGCATGCAGTTAGCACCAAGCTAATTGTTGGGGAATAAGCTAGCATATTTTGTTAGCTTCACTGGCTACAGAGCTCCAACGCTAAAGCTAAAGAAGAAACTTCAGACACCAAACATTCTCTCTCTCTCTCTCTCTTTCTCTCTCTCTCCTTCCTCTCTTTCACTCTCTCTCTCTCTCCTCCATTAATTGTGTATCAGCAGAGATGATTCACTTTAACAGTCATGCTTATTTTTCGGGGCCTGAGGGCAGAGATGCCTTGAAAGCTTGCCCGGAGGGTGTGTGTGAATAATGCATCTGAGAACACACCCTCCCAGCCCCACCCCCCCACCCCTGAGGCGGGACAGGGACCCCTCTCTCCTCCTCACTCGCCCCTACATGTCTCCTTCTTTTTGGGGATGCATCAATCAAAGCCGTGTGTATGCGTCATATTCACGCATTAATATTTTACCTAATGAATAATGACATTCAGATTTGGTGGGGATAAGGTGGGGGGTTGGTCTGACCGATGGTATAATCAAAGAGCAAACGGAGGACGCCGTCTGGGCTTCTGTTTCCAGAAACTTGCTTATTTGTTCATTTCAATTCAATTCAAAGAAGCTTCAAAAGGGATTCCACCAGACTTTTCAAAATTCAGTGTTTGAGATGT